TTGGAGACCACATGCAGCATCTTACAATGTTAACTGAACTCGACCTCTCATATAACGCAATTGAAAATCTTGATTCTTGGCATACCAAGCTGGGTAATGTGAAGCAGTTGCACCTTGCCGGCAACAAAATATCTTCTTTGAACGGTACTTCTACATTATTCCTCTTGTTATTTACAAGTTTACTGCAGTGTATTGGTATCTCTCAACGTCAAAATACCCTTCGTTCTCTGTATGAGGCGAAGGCACTCGGAAATGCTTCGAGTAGTAGCAAACGTCAACAGCAACCATCAGCTAGTAGTGCTGTTGATGGCTGTCTCTTTCAAGAAACAACGTATCTGGCATTTATTTATTTTGCGGCCAGCACGAATGGAGTCAGCCGTCGCTGTCCTGAAGCTGAATATGAAGGATTTCATTCCGTCACTGAGGAAACAATGCTTTGCGCTGTTCTACTCTTTTCGTTTGCAAAATGATGTTGGCAGATGCCGAAAAATGAAATCGCCAGGTGTTTCTGAACACTTTCAGGAAAAAGAGCCATCAGCATCCGTACAAGTGGGTGGTCGTTGTTGGCAGTGGCAGTGCGTATCTCACTACCTGGGCGACTTCCATTGCCTCTACTTTTCAGAGTAAAATATTGAGGGGATGTTGTTTCGATTTGTCTACAAAATTTTAGTGATTTCATTCCTGTGGCTCGATTTATCAAATTATTGCAGGACTGCATAAATTATATTCACTGGAGTTCTTGGATGTAAGAGATAACAACGTGTCTTCTCCTGAAGATATCAAGTCGGTCGGAAGTCTTCCTTGTCTGGATCATCTTATTTTGCGAGGCAATCCTATCCGGCATGTGATTGAGTACAGGACGAAAGTTTTGGAACATTTCGGAGAAAGAGCTGTCGAAGTTTGTTTATCGTCATCAATGAAAGATTTTTGCCTAAACTGATGGTAAGAGCTCAGGATTCAAATGGGTGGCGAAGTCATAAGCACTGTCAACCCCATCGTTTCCTGAATTGGTCTGGAAAGAGTTCCTGTAGATTGGGGATAAGCGGTTCGATAAATAGCGTCGTACTTGGTAGGCCTTCCCAATGATGGTCATCTCTTCCTGTGCATGTGGTGGACATGACAGCGAACTTGTGACGATAAAGATTGACTTTGCTAAAGGTGTTGGCCAGCAGTTAAAGCTCTACCTTGTTCTACCGTGGTGGTTCCATGAATTCTTGAGATGTTTTGCTCTGCTGGTACCAGTTTTCCTGCAGAACAGATCGTAGAACGATGGGATTTTTTGTGATACGCTTGAACCAAAGAAGTTTTTTTTTTTTTATCTTCGCGGAAAAGTTGTGCCGCAGGCCACTACATTGTCCGTTGTTTTGAACCACTCAAAAAATAGTCATGGTAAAGTTCTTTGCTGTGAGTACAGCTTTGCTGTGTCATGCGACATGCTTGCAGGTGAAATTGGATAGTAGA